AACTAATGAGATTTTTCGTTAATGGAAAGAATTAATAGTCGTTACAGCGGGATCATGAGGTAGGTAGAACAGGGAAACATGTTCTTAAATTTAAATTTTTCAAGAAAGATTTTTCAATAGTGGTGGTCATTTACAGAAAATATCTATAAAGATATCCCGGATGACAAGAAGTTGGTTTCAATTGGTCTTTATATCATCACATTTTATAAAATAAATCCTTAATGTATCATATAAAAATTTTTCCAAAAAGAAATAAAATGTCCCAATTAAATCAATCCTAATATTTTGTTCTTAGTTTTATGTGAAACATTATTTCATAGCTAATTCAAAAACCTACCGTGTAACTTTCAGTTTACTTACAAAACAGTTTTAAGCCCTATTAAGTCAAACAATACTCGAAAAGCTTTCAGATCATTTGGTCTCTTCTATGAAACAAGCTTACTTAAAGTGCTTAGTGAAAATAATACTATTGTTAATAAGAATGATGGAATGAAGCCCAGATCACAGTAATCATAGTTATAATCATTAATCACAGTAATCATAGTTAAAAGCAAAAGTAATCATTTGCCAATTTAAAAAATAAAATTTTTACTGCACTGTAAAAATTCCGAATCAGGGTCCTGGTATTTTTTATCGTAAAATCCATTTTTGCCGGAACATGTTTCGGAACAAAAACTCTGATATACCGTAATTTTTACAGTAATAATTACCGTAAAACCTCCAAATCATTTTATTTAGTAAATATTTCTGTAAAAATAACTGTATAATATTTTGCGGTAAGGATGGATTTTACTGTAAAATTTTACGAATGATGCATCCAAAGTGTCGGAAATTTATGCCATAATTTAATCCAGAATATTTTACAGTGTACTTAAACATTATGTGTAAATTTGTCGTATGCATTAATTATATTTTCGAGTGCCTCAATATAATATCGTGCTCCTTTTATTATTTAGAGTCATATATAATAACTAAAAATATAAAAGAACGCATCATATTTTACTAGGGCACAATGAAAAGGGCAAATGTCTTGAAGATTGAGGAAATTTTTCTCCCTTTTTGGCGAAAGCATTTTTGAAGAAATTGTGGAAAAATTCTAAATTGTGGAATTCCCTATATTTGCACGTTTAAGCATATGATTTTTTTTTAAAAAAATTTAGGCTTAATACTCCACACCAGTTAACACAATCAATAGTGGAAAACGACACAAAAAATTAGCGTGAGCGGGAAATCAACTTAATCAATGAGTGTGTGGGGGCGGAGCTATCGACGATGCCAACCTTCATCTATCAAAAGGTACCTCGTGATTGAATCAAGTTGGCATGTGTTATATACCAGTGAATTGATGTTTTAATTTTCGTATTGGTAGTTACGCCACAATACTCCCCCACCAGAATTTTATCAGGGATAGAATACGATGAAAGGATACCACTAGTTGCTGTACTTTTGAGAGACCGGGAGAGCTGGTTTTAAGGTCACCGGGTTTTTGAGTGCTGAATGCGAGAGGTGCATTAACTTCACAGTCGTATTCGCTCCTGTGTTACCATTAGCAGTCGAGTGTATGCAAGCAGCCGTTATGTTTAATCGAGACGAGACTAAGTAGAAACTGCGTGAGGAGGATTGGATAATGTTGCAGTCACAAGTAGCAAGTCAAATGTTCAATGTGGATCATCCAACAAAATAGGCGTTACTGTCAAGATTTTTGCGAAGTGGGCGTTACTGTGTGTTCAAATCACGTCCGGAGGTCACCAATGTGGGGGCGGAGTTATGGACGATGCCAACATTCATCTATCAAAAGGTACCTCGTGATTGAACCAAGTTAGCAAGTCTTATATACCAGTGAATTGATGTTTTAATTTTCTCACAGGTAGTTATATGTGCTTTAACTCATGTGCCATCCAGCCATACAACGCAAGCGATTTTAAAATAAAATAAAAAGTGTTGGGAAATATTTAGAATATACAGCTATTGCACATATGAGAGAAAGCAGTTTCGTGAAAAATTCGAAAGTAGCCGTTTTGACAACAATCATGTGGTTTCATGACAAACTGATATTAAAAAATTAATGAAATACAGCTAATTAATTGGTAAATCGTTAAAAAATGAGAGATTTATTTATGAAATTTCATTTTTAGGGCAAAAAAAAATCAAAAGAAATAATTATTCAGGACTGTATAACTAATTTTCATTATAAAGAGGGTATTTAATAAGTCAGTAAAGAAAAGAAAACTTTATTTTTAAATTTCATGAAATCATAACTTAAATTTCGTTTTTTTTTTTTTTTCAAATTTAATACACTTTCGATCAATACTTAAGCAAAGCGTATTTATTTTAATTAAATGATGTTTGAAAGATTTATCTGATACTCATAAATGACATGATAGGAACTCATTATCAAATTCTTTGATATTGCTCAAATAAACTTATTTAATTTTTGACGTCCACGGAAATAATTAGAAAATGCATTACATTTAATTAGATCTCGTAGTACCTCAACAAACTTGCAATTACATATTTCACTGTGAGTTTAATTAGATAAATATTGCATGACGTTCGAGTGATACTATGAATGATTGGAGGACTTAATTTAATGACAGATTCTCTGTAATTGTACGTGCTTTGCTTGCTGAAGAGAACTTATTTATTTTAATTAAAGACAATATTCAAGTATCCCATCGAACTTTGATCTTTTTATCTGATTTACAGTTTCAAAGTCTTTCTAGCTACTTATACCATCTTATATGATAAATAAACGTAATATATTTTATACATAACCCTTGGGAAATTAAAGATCTTTCTTTTCGTAGGAGGCTGTGTCAATGTTTTGCCCTGATGTAAAATCTGTTGAAAATTTTTGTTTAGGAATGAATTCAATTTATATGTTATTCAAATCGAAATCACTCTAATAGAGACTATTATAGATCATATGCAAAATGAATTTGTTGACATTGGGATTAAATTCTAGGTTTTTAATACCCTGAAAAACTAAATGCATAATAGCTTGTGGTTTAAGTAAAGAAAAAACAAAATATTCAGACAAGCCTGTATTATTTGGAATAATTGCATAATATATATCGTGAAGTAAAATGACAATTAATCATTTGCCAATTCAGAATATTTTCATAAGAAGAAAAAAATGCGTAAGATTTTATGAATTTAGTGTAGATAAATGACTGCGATTTACCTATTTTTATTTGGATCTACTGCAACAAATTTATCTTAAAAAATATATTTTTGTCTCAATTTGCTTACTTTTATTTTAAGTTAATGAGTATAGTTTTAATAAATAACGATATTTCCTAAGTTTCCGATGATTTCATGCCTTTTTCCAAAATAAATCATAGTAAAGTCAAATGCAACAAAGTCAAATGCACTTACTGCAACAAAGTTATTTTAAAAATAAAATTTGTGTCAAATTTTCTTTTATTACATGCCAACTTTTATAAATTATTGAGTACAATTCTTATAAGAAACGATGACAAGGAAGTTTCAGTCCTTAACAAAACTTGTTTTTAACTATTAGCTATTTTTTAAGAACATATATATGTATAAAAGCGTACAAGTACAGTCATTTATACTAGTTTAAAGCTATTCAAACAAATTACAAAAAAAATACTAGTTTTATTTACCACATTTACCGAATTTTAAAACACATTATATAACTATATTTGACTGATAGTTTTATCCAAATCATTACTAAAGCTCATCGGAAAAATGTACTAATCCCGTAGAGCTAAAAACACAGTAAATTTTACGATATTCTGATAGCTTTGAACATATTTTTTTCTCATTGTATAAAAGTGTATAAATAGAGCTTGTTTCAGAATAAATCTTAATTGCAAATGCATTTTAATAAAATATGTCATAAAAGTTTAATTTATTAGGAAAAATAGAGGGACTCGGACAAAATATCGCGGGGAAAGTCTAGCGGGAACTAAATCTCACGTGGACGAATCATACGAGGTCAAATCTCACGTGATCAAAGTCTCGCGTGGACAAAGTATCTCGAGGATCAAATATCGCGTGAACAAATTATCGTTTATTAAATATACTGAAAAGTAGCACGCGTTTGAAACGAAAAAAAAATTTGATAATAAACATGCATTATTTTCTTGAATAGGTAATTGAATGTGTTTTATCTGTAAAATATGCAAATACTCAAATATATCTGCAGCCCCTCCCAATGTCCAAGAATGACCAAAATGACTTTGCGATTAATAATTTTAACTACAAAGAATGTTTTCTGTTATGCGTTTGTCCAAAGAATCCACACAAAAATGCACAAGTGAGAGTAACATATCAAAAGCGAGAGTATCATATCAAACCAAATTTAAAAGTTTTTTTTTAAATAAACAAATAAAAAATACTAATCATGCTAAAATCGGTTCCAAGCACGAGAAAAGTAAGATGGGTGCATTTTTCAAAAAAAAATATCAGGTTTCAAAATTAATAATAAATAGCATACACTATATTATCCTTATGTGAGACTTTGACCACACCATATTTCGAGCTCGAAATTTTGTCCGGTGATATTTCAGTTGCGTGATTTTGATCGGCGATATTTTTGTTGAGAGATTTTGTACGGCAATATATTAGTCTCGAGATTCTGTGCCTAAACCAAACTAACACCAAGTAAACCGGAGATATATTAGCAATATCAAACTATATAAGCCTTTAACATTTACATTTTAAAAAACAAGAATTTAATGCGGATGATCAATTAGTTATTTCCATAAATTAGCAATCAACAATTATGAATCTTTAACACGAAATGTATAATATTTCGTATTTTTTACAATCCAATATTTTTATTTAGCAACTTGAAGAACATTAACAAACATATTCCTTTTTTTTTTTTTAGGTTTTACATTCTTACTACCCATCAGGAATACAAAACTACTGTTAGAAAAGCTTAACATTTTCTTTGATGTAAATTTCTTCAAATACCGCAACTTTAATCTTATGTTTGGGTGTTTTTTTTATAGTTTCTCTATTTTCAGGGGACAAATATATCGTCTTACCAACTGGAGAGTTGCTCATCAAAAATGTAGCCCCAACGGACACATTAGTCGGCTACCAGTGTCAAGTACATCACAGGCTGATAGGAGAAAGCAAACTCAGTGCATCAGCTGGCAAACTCATCATTAGGGGTAAGCATCTCTTTTCGTTCATGAATAATTCATGATTTTTCTTCTGCTGCTTACGGAATTTCTTCAGTTAAAGCTAACAGCGGAAATGGATTGTGATTTATTCGTTTCATTATGTTTGACTCATCATTAAAACTTTGTTAACAATGCAAAAGGGGTAAAATGCATAGTAATGACTCCTGCAATGTTTACAGAAATTAACTTTAATTAAAGATTATATAAATAATTGATTTTTGATTGCTTGATAATATGGATAGCAAATACGTTTGGAGAAAGAAAAAGACTGTTGCCATTTGGGAGTGATATTTCAAAAGAGACGGAGAGCTCACATAATTGAGAAACTGTTTTAAATATCAAAAACCGTTGGAATTTACGAATCGTAACAAAATACTTAGTAATGGCTCTAACAATGCTTTCTTTTTGAATTGATTAAATATATCATGAACTGGCTACTTTCGATTGCAGAGTTATATGCATTAAAGATAAATAAATATTATTTGAAAGGTTTTTTCTCTCCTTTATTTAGAGATAAAGATAGACGGAGAGTTTTATTCATCGCTCCCCCCTTAAAGAAACGTTTAAATATTTAAAAAATCAAATTTAATTCCAAAAATTATCAAATTAATTTAAAATTTTGCTTGTAAAGTATAAATATGCATAATAAAAACTGTATTGGTGATAAATACAATTAAAATAAATTAAAGAATTTATAAGTGTTTTAAAAACATTTTACCTATAAATGTTATTCTGTCTTATGAAATATTTTTTTCTTCAAATTGGATGAATCGATATATTATTGAATAGCATTTTCGTTTAAAATGAGTCAGTTTTAAAAGCTTCTTAGTTCAATGGATGATTTACAGAGAAAATTGAGTTATTCGCTTCAATGCTTTTACAAAATTATGCCAATCCTTTTACAAAATTAATTTATAAAAAATTAAGCAAATAGAAATTAAATAGGTTTACTAATCATTAGTTTTCAGCTCATTCTTAACAACGTTAGAAAAAATTACATTTAAATAAAAGCCACAGTTACATGAAGCAATTAACAATTTACGTAACATTATTTTAGTTTAATTTAAAAAATGAAAAGAAATTATCCATTGGAACAAACAATTAGATTAAGTCATGTTAACGTCAACAGTATTATATTGCCAAATGAGCAATATGTTGCAAAATACAAATAAAATTAACGTACTGTTGTGACATATTTATATCGTTAGAAAATATTTTAACAATTACAAATATTAGAAATTGAAAACGGAACATTAAAGCCAGTTTAGAAGGTAAGTTGAACATTTAATGTCCAAAATAATGCACCAAACATGCACCGCATAGAGAAAATTTTGATTTTCTTATTCCTTAACTTATGTAAAAAAATAAATCTTAAAATAATTAAACTCTGAAGTAGAATTCTAGATTAATAAGCAAATTAATGATTATAAATATTACTCTATCAATAGCAATCGGGATAAAGAAGAGAATTCATTTGAAACGGAAATGCATTTCAAAATTCATTTTCTTATTATACATTAAAGATAATATACAGAATGAATACAACATTCAATACCCTAGATCAGGGGTGTCAAACTCAAAAGCTAACTTGGGCCAAATAAACAATGCTTAACATTAGGTGGGCCGCAGAAAAAAGGAGAAAAAAAAGAAAAATCAATGTTCATAGAAAACAAATATTTTTATTTTGAATTGTAATAAACATATATAAAGTTAAATTATTGTTTACGTCCTGATATTTGACATCTCTTCTCTGCTACTTACTATCTTTTCTATATCGGGAGGAATTTTATTGCCCGAGACTACTTTCAAAATTGACCCAACGTGAGCGTAATTAATACGGTTTCGAACAAGAGATTTATTTCCATTCATAACAGAAAATAATTGCTCTCACTGATAAGTACTTCCAAACATGGAAATAATTTCATATGCGAATTTTCGAGTATTTTCAAACCTTGATGGTAAATATTCGCAAAATTCAGGCACCCACTTCAATGACTTTTGCCTTCAAATTTGAGTCGCACTGAATCTCAATCACTTTCATTTACATGTAACTGGGTACTGAGTCTGTATTTATTGAGAAAATCGAAGAAAGCAAACAAAATTTGTCTTCCAAAGAATTATAATCTTTAAACCTTGTTTCAAATTCTGTCCTAAGATTTGAAATTTATTTCTGCGTATTTTTGATACGATGCAGTTTCATCTATGGCAGTTTCATTTGTGTATAAATCAACAAGAACAAACTAGATTTGTTCTTGTTGCACGTTGGGAAGTGAATTAAATCCTCATTTTTCAGTTGCCTTTCCCAAAGAAATAGTTAACATTTGAATGCTTTAATTATGTCAAACATGTTCGTAATGATCTGATCTTTGACTTGTAACAATAAATTTAAATCGGATGAGTGTTTGGTTACATCAGCCATAAAAGATAAATCTTGCTACCATATTTGATCGGAGAACAAGCTTTTATCTTGATTTTTAGTTTGTAAAAACTTACATAATTCTTCTTTCATATCCCAGAATTGCCTGAGAAGCTTGGAGCAAGATAACCAACGTACCTCGCTATAGTAGGATAAACCTGAATATGTACTATCCAATTGATAGCTTAGTGTGAAATGGACTCCATTTCAGCGAATTGGAATTTTACATTTTCGCGAGTACGATTTAAAATGATCCGTATAAATAAAATATATTATAATTTTATATGCTGGTTTGTTTCTAATTCACATTTCTATTTTATTTTTACTTTGCTTCGGATATAATGACTGGGCCACAAAAATGTTCATCTCGGGCCGCATGCAGCCCGCAGGCCGCGAGTTCGACACCCCTGCCCTAGATACATTATATAGTGTGTGTGGCTGAAAATTTAAAGACTATTAAAACTCATCCTAGCATATATTTCAATTGAGTTTCTTCATGAATGATATATGAGCTTTTTCCCCCCAAAATCAAGGTGCATATTTATCATATTTTTTAATTTTTTTTAAATTTAAAATACCAAGTAAGTAAAATGCTGTCACTGGAGTTAGTTATGCTCAATAAAAAATTTTATTTTCTGGATCTTACATGTTAATTTAACGAAATGAGTGAATAGAAAAATCGAAATATGCATAATCGATACTGAGGATCAAAAATTTCATGTAGACTTCAAAAGCCCTAAATTTACATTTCATTATACTATTTTAGTACTACTTTATATTCTAAACTTTATACTACATACTTTTTCTAATTATTAACTAGGAACATTTGTCTTGTGTGTGTACATTTAACAAAAGTAAAATCTGTGTTTTAACACCTCCCTCTAAATTAAAATTTTTGACCGGTCCAAAAGACTTGAATCTGTTTCAATTGACCTTTTTCTTATTAATATGTCTCTGCGTTGATCTCTTTAGATTAAATTTAAATTGTAAAATATATTTTCCGAGACGCACACCACTAGTAAACTGAAATATGAGATAATAACCGTTTTAATCATCTCGCAAATCACCTGAACCAAATCATTCAGGTCATTTGAAATTAAGTAACATTTTTATTTATAATAACTCAAATTATAGAACAAATATGAATTGCTTGTTCTAGTTATTGCAGTAGAATTATATGAAGCATTGGTTCCAGTTTTTATTGTTGAATTATATGAATTATTTGTTCCAGTTATTGTTGTTGATTTATCTGAGTTATTCTTTCTTTTAAAAAGAGGAAATCACATTTGATATAATTTTGTTCCATATAATTAATATTTATTTAATTTATTGAGCCAATTTTTCTTCTTTTAGAACCTCATGCCTCACTACCACCAACTATAACTGAATCTCGGCCCATTATCCACGCAAAAGAATCAGAAAGAGTGTTTTTACCTTGCGTTGGACAAGGATATCCACAGCCATCATACAAATGGGGAAGAAGAGATGGGGATAGGATCAATTCATTTCATCTAGCAGACAGAATTTTGCATAAAGACGGAGTTCTCATCATACAACAAGCTGCAATTCAAGATACGGGGGTTTATACTTGTGAATTAAATAATTCAGTTGGACAAGATAAAGCTGAAACCAAACTTCTTGTATCATGTAAGTTTTCATTACGTTTATTTTTTATTGATCATTTCTCTCACAAATGACTTGAAACGCTAATGCTAAAATCAGTAATGCAATTAGTAGTTTATTTAAATTGATTTCTAACTTAGTGAAGAATTATAATCATTAATTAGATTAGTTACTTCAGAACCTTAATGAGTCACAGATAGTTAAGACTTTCATTAACAATTTTTAGCGATAAATTTTAACAATACCTAGCTATCCTACCTAAGAGGATTAATCTCATATTTTTTGTCAACCACTTGAGAACTAATAGGAGAAAACAAGCTACTTTCATAAATTAGGAATAAATAATTAATACATAAAAAACTCATTTTCTTCAGTTTATTTCGATTAAAACCACCATTTATAAGAGCGATGTATTTATACTATTTTATTAATTGATGTGCTATGAGACTTTGTAATCTATTTTTCTAAACTCCTTTTGAAGCATCGTTTATCTTTTTAAGTTTATGAAGTAAAATTAGTGTTCTATTACACTAGCAATTTTCGTTTTTATAATACAATCATCCGTATTTCACTTTTTTATTATTTGCAAATCACATTTAATAGAATTAAATAAAATAAATATTGATTTTTCGACACTCAATTCAAAATTTTTCCTATTAAAGTATGATTTTTTTTTTTACTTTTTGAAGGAAAATCTGAAGTAAATCATCCAATGCAATACGAAATTTCATGCAGTTAATTTTATATTTATCTTTTTAATAAAATTATTTTTATTTTTTTATTGTTTATTCTAAAATATAGTTATACAAAATTTCTTAATGGGTCCACATTTGAAAAATACATGTAATCATTTTAAGACTGTGCAAATAAAGAGCGAAATGATGAACAGGTACTTAATCCAGAAAAAAATAAAATATTAACCATTGTCTGTTCAAATGACGACAATGAGAATCTGAAATGTACCTTCACATTTAAATTTCATTTCTCACACAAAAAGAAATTATCAAAAAATATTTAATAATTTAAAAAAATTAACCATTCACGCAATTAGTGTTAAATCAAAGAATTGAATTTGTTAATGAGTCGATTTTAACTCTCTAAAATTTAAGATCATCGAGAGTTAAAATCATTTCATCAGCACTCTAAGATTGAAGCATATGACTACGTTACATTTTAATGGAGTTTCCTCTGCCATTAAAGCAATACCAAAAATAACCTCTATAGCTGAACATACACTAAATGATTTTAGTGTGCTAATAGTTACAGTGCATAACTTCTCGTGTTAAATTCTGAAATCTAGCTTAAATCAGCCTGATCGTAAGTGTGATACGAATATGTATGTGTTTGCAGCTCCATTATCAGCTAAGATTGATCCTGAATCCCAAACAGTTGATGTTGGCAAGACAGCTACCCTCAGTTGCAGAGTAATGGGTCACCCTGTCCATTCTGTGGTATGGTTGAGGAATGGGAATACAATAGTAGCAAATGGACCAATAAAGCTGGTATCCAGAGACATATTACAAATTAATCCAGTGCGGAGAGAGGATGCAGCAGTATATCAATGCTTTGTTAGTAATGACCAAGAAGTTGTTCAAGGTTCAGCAGAACTCTTTGTCACGGGTAAGAATGACATCCTTAGTTTTTATTTTACTTATTTTTTTTAAAAATACAAGTTTGTAATTTATGAATGATATATACCCATTAGTTAAAGTATTAAGTGTATATACATCCTTGCCTACAATGAATTTGGCTTTTTTATGCAACTGCATAAAATAGCTTGAAAACTATATAATGTTTAACTTTTTAACAAATATGATAAAAATGACTACAGATGCCTCAAGCACGAGGAAACGCATCGTAATAACGTGAAAACGATATAAAATCTTATATAAAATAATAAAAGTATTTTTGAATAAGTTTTCTATATCTTTTAGACGGATATTATTTCATTTTATAACCGCCGTTGAACAGCCGACCAAATTTTGAGTTTACGACTAGCAAAGATCAACTCCGTAGCCTTGTAATTGTAAACCTAATACAGATGACAAAGGAACTATTAGTATTGTATCAAGTTCAGGGAAAAATATACCTCTATTGAGGACTTTTGATGGAACTTACCCGCATTTCCGTTACATGGAGAGAAAACCACGAAAACCACCCACAATTAGCGCGAGCCGAGTGCGGAATTCGTATAGACCCGCATCGGTGATCTAACAACCGGTGCCGGTCAGATATTTTAGTTGAGCTTAATACTGAAGGACAAAAAAAAACTCTATGCTTTTTTACCTTTCATAACATCTTAAGTTTCAGAAATTCAGTTTTTTAAACTCTGAATGTTCTAAAATATGGAGTAATAAAATAAAACGTCGATTTGGCTTTAAAAACAAAACCCAAATTTGTTAAGCATATACATATAAGTACACATAATTTTTACGAATCAAATTTTTATGGCTAATGCTCATGAGATAAAAAAAAGACCTTTATTCATACTTCTAACCCAAGGGGAAATGTGAGAAAAATAACATAAACTTAATACGTTTTCTAAATAAATTCAACTGCATATCTATAAAATGAAAACTTAAAATACTCTTTTCCGAACTTTCTACTTAAGAATTAGGGGAATACAATCCCTGATGTAAACCATATTTTCTATTTATGGTATAAGATTATCAAAGAAGAGAGTGAAGCAGGTCCCGCGTTACAGAGGATTTACGTCAAAACAGCGACATCCTTGCGTGATACGTTAATCCTTTATTTTGACGTTCCTCAAGCCATCTAGAAAAGGTTTAGTGATGATTAGGCTTTTAAATACATGCAATAACGTTGACGACCAAACTTAATAAGCTGAGGGTCCTAAAGTAGCTTGAAGAGATTTTTAGTATTCATAAACTTGTTGACTTCTTAAAACCCGAATAAATTAAATAGTGCCTCTCTTTAAAACGCATACATAACCTAATCAAACAAGCTACGAAAAAGTAAGAAGAAGATGATTCAATGGAAAATTCACTTTTCCAGCATAAATAGATCTAGTTAAATTAAAATAAGGTTTGATAATAAAATTGCATTTAAATTGAGTTTTGGGTAGTTCCATGCATGGAAATATATAGATTAAAATAAATATAGATTGCTCTCATAAGAAAACATATTTGAAAATTTAAGTGGTTTTGAATAATTTTTATAAGTTATTCAAATAAAATAGAAAGCTTATTTTACTAAAAGAATGCAGGATATTTTTTAACCGTGGCAATTGTTGAATTGGAGTTTCAAAACGAATTTAAAATTGTTTTAAATAATCATTCAATAAAAAACTTTATTAAATTTGTTCATTTCAGTTGCTAAGAGATCATAAATGTTAAAAATATTGTTTATAAATTGTTAATAAATGTATTTATTTATTTAAAAAAACATAGATTTATAGAATTTTACATTAATCATGTAAAATTAATTAGTTTTCTTTCAAAATAAATAAAATGCGCAGCCAATTACAAACAGTGCATCTATTAAGAAATACCCATCTCATAAGTTATAAAAAAATGCTATAAGATAAAAAAATTACTGCTAAATTCATTAAACCTGATTTTTATTTTTATTTTGAATTTGGCAGCCATTTATCATTTATAAATTTTGAAATATTAATGCAATAAATTTTTAAATGATAATGTAAAATAAACTAATGTTGCTATTTAAAATACAACAAAATTGTAAATAAGTTTTAGTGTTTACAGTAACATTCTACTTGGGTACTAAAACAACTATTAACAATATGTTTCTCATGTGTACATCTATAACTATCATTCTATTATTCTCCGATTTTTCGTTCTACAAACGGTTGCCCATGTATTAGTCAGTTTATTTTTTGTCTCATCTTTTGAGACTAAATAATTATTTAAGTAGTTAAAATATAAATTTATGAGATTCAAAATTTCAAGTAAGTTTAAAAGTTTGAATGTATAAACTATAAATAAAATTAAATAAATTATTATACACGTTTTATTCAAACTTGTATTTAAGAACAGAAAAACCTAACAATCAAGTGAGACAAATTTTAAGAACTTTTATTATTTGCAATTAACATAAAATTTATATTATTAGAAAAACTGCTCTCTTTTTATTCTAATGTAAGGTTTATTAAAAAGTTACATTTACACATTTGGTCGTTACTGAATTTTTTCTTTATCAGTCAGCTTACGGCTCAAAGTTATTTTGTTTAACAATTTTACAATAAATCTGCTTCAATTAAAGAGCATTTTTAACATCCAGGATAATTCAGAATCTGGCCAAATAAAGAAAGTCTATTCAGGGATCACAGACGCTCTTCTTTTTAAGTTTGCGTTTCAAAAGTCTTGAAGGGAGGAGTAGAAACATAGAAGTATTACGACAAGAATTTTGGTAAAAGTCAAAATCACTGGAAATGGATCCTCTTCAAAGAAATTTTTCTGAGATGTCGAACAACTACAAATAAAAAACTAAGATATATAATGTAGATAATAGTGTAAGTTTACCTTCCAACATAATTTACTAACAGCCAATACTCAGTCGAAAATGGTACACAAGATAAACAACTCAAATAAGGTAGCCCAGGATTATTGGGACAAACTTTAACTTGAGGTAAAGACATCTCTAGGATTTAGATTTTTATAGAAACCTATAATCGGGAACATCTTCCTTCGCCCCTAGCTTGTGTTGTTCTACATATGGATTAATAACGGTGGCACCTGATTTAAGCAGCATTGATTTCTCTCTTTGGTGTGCACTGAAAAGCACTGCATACGCAACATCTGTGAATTCCGAAATGATTCTGGTCTCAAAAATTGTGTGTGTGTTGTTGCCGAATTCCGAAAAAAATACAGGTGTATTTGAGCGAGTCTGCCAATCCCTGTCCCGATGGTGAAGCTCATCTTTGAACGTGTGGAAACATTGGACATCGCTTGGAAACTTTGAAAATCGCTTATGATATTTTCACATATCATCTACCGCAGCACATGCAATATCTTCGATCTATAAATATTCCAGAAGAATATTCCAGAAATAAATATTCCAGAAGAATATTCCAGAAATAAATATTCCAGAAGTCTTTCGCCTCTTTATATCTTGTACCCGGCATACTTCTATGACTATATGCTGAGATATTACTTAAAATACCATAATCCGTATTTAAGATACAATATAACGTCATACTATGATATTATTCAAAAATAATGAAAAGAAAATGAAAAAAAGAAAACAATTTTTCAACAGCCAGTTGCTGGCGAACAGGATCATGTAAATCAGGTAGCTACAGTTTCGTTACAAATAACAACAGTGCGCAATGCGGCTAACACTGCACATCGTTCATTTGAACCCTCAGGCATGCTTTTTCTCATCGATCTGAATCTGCATACTCTTCAAGCTCTCATATGGAATAGAATCTCTGTCCTTCACAATGAAAAATAATTACTTTAACCACTTTGCAAATATGGATCAAAAAAAGGAATACACATTATATAAATGCATAATCGAAAATATTAGCCAAAACGAACTGAAAAAAGGTTAGGTAGGAATAGAGTGACACCTATTCAAGTACTTTGTTTTCAGTTTCTATGCTTTTAAATATTGCCTTTTTTCCTTAATAACCCAGACATCTGGATCTGGTTTGCATTATGTGTTTGGAAGCAGGTATTCTTTACCTATAAGGTGTTCTTTCCTGTTACAAATTTTAAGGATTAACATCCCTTAGTCAGAGTATATAAACGCGATGACCAAAGGGTCATGAAAAAGTTTTTTTTTCTCTTTAATGACAATTTAACATATCACACTTGCCAGCCATTGGCCATTTGCGAATTAAGTCAGGAAGGTACGACTTTCATTTGACAAAAGAACACCGAAAATGTTAAAGTTCGTCTTAGCTCAGAGCCCTACGGATAGATGGCAGCACCACTCATTCCTGAGGACACTTCTTCAATTTAGACATACATCAGAAGGGGAACGAAATTTTCTCGAGATTTCTATACTCATGGTACAGCAGTCTCGACTGTGAGATTCCTGTACTCATGGTACCGACCATAGCACTTTCGATTCCATAAATTCTACGAACACGCATATCGCAATTAATCGATGAGTCTTAGTGGAGTCGATTATCGAACCCCGGGTCCTCCAGATCACAGACTGATTCTCTAACCACAGGACTACTGCGGCTCATGAAAAAGTAATTTTGCTGAAATACGCAATAAAAAATTTATTTCAACGAAATTAATAAATATATTTCCTTCTTTAAATTAAACTTTTTTAATGTTGTGCACTATTTTACATTAAATACCTTAATAAGTTAAAATCTAATTAGATAATTTTAATGTAAGAACTGATCAATTTAATTTAGTTAATACAGCATAAAATATTAAAAGCGTAATCATTCAAACCTTCATGCATTAGTTCCTGAGTCTGTAAAAAGGTCGATAGAAAGAACACCCATCATTCTACCCGCACTTTGCCAATCATGCTTAAAATTTTTATCAATTCCTCCCACATTCCTTCACGGTTCAAGTGAAGACCGATTCACGATGTTTTTATTTTTACTCAACTTTTCTGTCGCTTACATTTCTAATACCGCTTCTCTCTTCGGGTCAATCACGGTCTAGCTGTCC